TCTCAGTGTGTTTATCATTGTGGTATAGAAAAGCCACTGTGTGATGTAGCTCTCCCTTGGTAGAGTGTTTGCCTAGTATTTATGAAGCCCTAGGTCAGTCTACAGCACTATGTAACTTGATTATGGTTGTACATGCCTATAATCCCAGCACTCATGAGGGAGAGGCAGGAGTCAAGGTCATCCTCAGCTATATAATGGGTGGGAGGCCAGTCTGGGCTACATAAGACTCTTGTCTCAAAAAATCAAACCAAACTAACAAAAAAGCCCCCCCCCCAAAAAAAACCAGCAACAAAAAACCCAAAATCCTTTTATTTTTGCATGTTGATTTTGTAGCCAACTAAGTTGCTGCAAGTGTTATCAGATGTTAGAATTATCTGGTGGAGGCTATAAGGCCTTCCTGATTATAGAGGAAACATTTTTCAGTTTACCCCAGCCTGGACTATATGAGGACCTGTCCCAAAAAATTAAAAAAGGAGTTAAGTAAATGGGCCTGTCAGTCATCTGGGCAGGAAAATGCTCTCCAGGAAGCTGGCAATTCGAGAAACTTCAAGAACTAGGCTATACCTGAAGGCATGTTAAGAAGATAGGGAGGGGCTGGAGAGATGGTTCAGTGGTTAAGAGCACTGGTTATTCTTGTAGAGGACTGGGGTTTGATTCCTAGCACTTGCGTGGCAGTTAACAATCGTCTGTAACTCCAGTTCCAGGGGAATCTGATGGCCTCTTCTGGTCTGTGCAGGCATTTTACCACATGGGTGCTCTTACATACAATGCACGCAATACATTCATACACATAAAAAATAAAAATAAGGGGCTGAGGGTCTGGAGAGATGGCTCAGCACTTAAGAATATTGGCTGTTCTTGCAGAGGACCCAGGATGACTAGCACACATATATATGGTGGCTAACAACCATCCATAACTCTGGTTCAAGGGGAATGCGATGCCCTCTTCTGACCTCCTTGAGCATTGCATGACACTGGTGCACTTATATACATGCAGACAATACACTCATACACATAAAATAAAAAATGATAAAACATTTAAAAATAAAAATAAAATATTTTAATATGAAAATAAGAAAACAAAAAATAAAAAAGATGGGAGGAGTAATATTCTCTTATGAGACACACACTTACATGCTTAGAAGCCCCTCCCTTGATATAGTTCCTTAAAGATCCTCACTGCTAAGACTACCTTTTTCTTTCTTTCTTTTTTTTTGGTCTTTGAAACAGGGTCTCCCTGTAGCCCCAGCTGGCCTGGAACTCGATATGTAGACCAGCTGGCCTTGAACTCACAGAGATCCACCTGCTTCTGCCTCCCCAGTGCTGGGATTAAAGGCATGTGCCACCATGCCATACCTCTTTCTGAGTTATAACTCAGAAAACATACCTTTTTCCTTTTGTTTTTCTATCGTCTATTTTTGAATATAGCCCAAATCCCACCCTGTTAATCTGGGCATTCTCTAACTGTCCCCACCCCATTCAGCTGCTGCAGACCTCCACTGCCTATCTTGCTTTCTTTTTTTAAAAAATTATTTATTATTTTTATTTTTATGTGTATGAGTGTAATGCCTGCATGTGTGTAAGTGTTCCCTTGTCATGCAGTGCCCTTGGAGGTCCCATTGGATCCCCTAGAACTGGAGTTAGGACAGTTGTTAGCTGCCATGTGGGTTCTGGGAATCAAATACTGGTTGTCTGCAAAGAGCATTCAGTGCACTTAACCACTGAGTCATCCCTCCAGTCCCGCACACATTAAAGCTTAAGACTTGGAATTCTATTGCAAGATACAGAAATGTGGGACTGCTGTCCTTGGCCTTGAATCCCTGGCTGTTACATGGTACCATTTTTTCTACCACTCTTGCTTCATCCCCAAGGGGCCTCATGTTACTATGTACAAACATCATGCCACCACATTCATGGTCCATCTAGCCTTTACAATAATACTGAGAGACAGAATGTGAAGACCCTGACTAGACCACAATATCAACAGAGTTTTGCTTACAACCTACCCAGGAAACCAAATCCCTTCTCTGCAGGAAGTAGCCCAGGAAGTTTGACTTGCAGGGATGCAGACTGCTATCTCTAGCAACAACACAGGAAGCCAAATAATAACCACAGCAGCAGTGAATGCCAGGATTCAGAGCAGTAGCTGTTCCTCCTTTGGTCCTGTTAAGTAGGAGACTGGATTGCTCCATAGACAGAGGAATAAGCATCTGAGTTAAAATTAGATTCATACACAGGAAACAGTTATAGATAGGCATGCATCAAATTCTTTAGACTCCTCCTGAAATTTTATGGTAGTCTTAAAATTGTCATTTACCTTGACCTAAAGACTTCTCCCAGCACTGACCGGTTCTGAGTGAGGGCAACACTCTCATTGCAGTCACCTTTGCTGAATACAGGAACCTGGCCCAGCCTAAGACTGCAAGTGGGGTTAGAATGTTCTGCAGACTGTCAGAGGGTGCTGCTCCGTACACATATGCTAGCTCTCTGCCTCATGGCCACACTCTAATTGAACTGATAGCTTCATCAACATGCCCTATCCCTTCTAGATGTTCTTAAAGACACTGTTCCTCAAAGTGGAATTACCTCCTTTGCAAAACCACTGTAGTTGTTTATTTTAATAGTTGTTTCAGCCCCCAAGTCCCATGGGACCACAAGCATCCTCTGATTCTTGTCAAGGACAGTAAGGCAAATTGTATTCAAGAAGGACAACTGCAGAGGTGGGAGGTCACAGGGCGGGGGCGGGGCCTGCACCTCGGTCTCTATGGGGCGGGGGCGGAGCTCTATCTTAGTGCTGAGCTCAGTATGTGGCGTCTGGCCCGCGCGCTCCGAGTGCAAGCTGTGAAGACCAGCAGATTTTCCGGCCCTGGGAGCAGGCCTGCCGCCCTGATGTCCACCCTACTGATCAATCAGCCCCAATATGCTTGGCTGCAGGAGCTGGGGTTGCGCGAGGAGAACGAGGGCGTGTATAATGGAAGTTGGGGCGGCCGGGGAGAGGTATGCGGGCGCTGCAATATGCAGCCCAGGTTTGCTCTGGGAGGCCGGGCTGTGGCAGAAGGGACTGGTTGGGAAGTTTTGAAGCTGCATAGTGGCAGTTTGCTCACCAAGAGTGTCTTAGCAAAGAAGAAAAGAAGCAAACTTTAGATTTTGGCACTTTGTGTGCCATTTGGAATCGAAAGCATTTTGGAGCTGGTAGGAAGGCTAAACTCACACTTGCTTCAAACCGTATGGCAGTCTTGCTTGGGGTCCGTAGCAAGCTTGTGCTTGCTAAAACTCGTCCACTTTCCCCCTGAGGACTTGGCTTTCAGTATTTATTGCTCAGAGTTCAACACTGTGATAAACGTTTTATAGAATGCACTGAGCAGTCAGGTTATTGTGGCCCAATTTTAAGAAAAAGCAGCATACTTTCGAAGGAAAGGAAGCTTTTTTTTTTTTTTCCCAGAAGCACGTGACGTTCGACTATTAGAACTGCTTTGTTATGGGAAACGTCTCTTTGGCTATGGTAAGCTGTAGAAGATGTAGGTGATTTTAATTGTTCCCTTGTAATTGGGAGCTTCACCCTGTTTCTTTTTTTTTCTTTTGGGCTCCGAGGCTTGAATTCAGAGCCGTGTACACCCCGCACTCCACCACTGAATTACACCCTCAGCCCACTTCATCCTGTTTTTTTTGGTGTGGCATCTAGTCCTTAGGCTCTTGATAAAATCTAGAGGGCTTGTTAGCAGCACCTTCATTTTACCTTACCAATTGGAGTTTCATAGGCCTTTTGCAGGCAGAGTAAGGGAGAAGAGCAGTTAAACTCATCAATTGGATAACTGGTTACAGTAAGGTTTGTGTGAGTGTGTGTGGTGTTGTGTGTATGTACCTAGTACTTAGATAACAAAGCATGGGTCTTATATTCCTAATGCTTAGATGAGAAATCCAAGACCCAACCTCTGTAGAGTGGGCTAGCCTTATAGAAGTTAGCCTAAAGTTTCCTTCCCTCCATTTGGAAATGATTACAATTTCTATGTGTGATGGTCATCTTTTTCTGTTTGTTTCAAGGTTATTACAACCTATTGTCCAGCTAACAATGAACCAATTGCAAGAGTTCGACAGGTAAGTTTGTAAAATTCAAGCTGTTAAAGAGAATGAATGAAAAAGCTTTCTTTAGAGGCTGATGCCAGTTAGGAAACTCAAGAGCAATACAGTGTAAAATGTAAAGAAAAATGCTTCTTTTTCCTTCAGAGAATGTCTGGGGGAGACTGCCTACTGATTGGGGTGGTGTAAGCTAGAAAAGGTGAATCACAGAGAGGATTAGGGAGGGGGTATTTTTGTTGTTGTTATTGCTTCAGATTCAGGGTCTCATGTAGCCCAGGCTGGCTCTGAGCTTGTTATATAGTCTTGAACTTTTGATCCATTGGCCTGTACCACCACCTCTAGTTCATGCTGGGGCTCGACCCCTGCGCTTTGTGCTTGCTAGGCAAGCATTCTACAACTGAGTTACATTTCTAGTCTCCATTTTAGGTATTGATTCTGAATCATTCCAGAGTTTTGTTAGAATGAAAGTTCTGATTCTTCAAATCTGGGTTGGAGCCCGAGGTCCCACTATTCTAATATGAATCAGGTGTTGTTTCTTGGTAAGGCTAAACAGACCATGCTTTGAAAGCAGAGCTTTAAAGCACAGTTGGATTACCTCTTGTTTTATTAGATTCTAGTTAGTTTTTAATTTATCTTTTAGCTTAATTTGATATTCCCCTGTTCCTGGGGCTGGGGATTAAACCCAGAGCCCCACTCTTGCAAGTCAAGAGTGCTACCATTGAGCTACATCTTCAGCCCTTGCCTAGACAGTTCTTACTATTACAGACTGTTGAAATCATTATCAAAGATGGTTCCTAGGGAGATTCATTTTCCACTTTATGTACATTCCAGAAGGAAATTATTCCTTTTCATTCCTTTTTTCTCATCCCAATTGCTAACTTAGGCCAGTATGGAAGACTATGAAGAAACCGTAAGGAAAGCCAGAGAAGCTTGGAAAGTTTGGGCGGATGTAAGTATAGCCTTGATGGTCTCAGCACAACCAGGTCACCTGCTATATTATGAAAGATGGCTGAACATCGCATAGTGCTGAGATGTGTGCTCTTTGGAACTGAGATAGTTTCCTCCCTGCCATGGGTAATTTTAAATACATTAAAAGTGTATTGATGTAGTATAAACTGGAGCTATGAACGTCCTCCCCCTGAACTTCTAATTGAACAAAAGAGTGGAAGATCTATGTCAAAGTATCTGTTTGCTCCTCCTCCTTTCCATCCTTCCTGACTGAACAGAGAAAGTGTTTCCATAGCATGTCAGCATGCCTTGCTCTAGGCTCTAGAGCAGCCACCATATTTTCTCATTGGCTTTGAGGCAGAATGTGCCTTCTTCATCTCTGAATCTACATCATGTGTTAATAAAAAAGCCAATGAGAAATTTGTGACTGGTACTGGTCTGGGTCTCACTGATCTGCTGCTAGGTGGGGGCTAGCTGTGGTGAAGTGGGGAGTACAGGAGAGAAAACATCACTTGAATTTTTCCGGTGTTCCTCTGCCTTCCCCAGAGTGTTTTAGATGGCTCAGTGGTTAAGAGCACTGGCTGCTCTTGCAGAGGACTGGGATTTGATTCATAGCATCCACATGGTGGCTGACGACTGTCCATAATTCCAGTTCCAGGGGAATCCAGCACCTTCTTCTGACCTCCGAGAGCATTACACAATGCAGGTACACTTACATACATGCAGGCAATGTACTCATACACATAAAATAAAAACAATAGTAAAAAAAGTTTAAAAGGGAAGGGCAGTTGACTTAATCATGTGAAGTGTTTACACAATGGCTCACACGCAGCAAGCATCAGTAGATTGTAAAACTGTGCTGGCCCATCAGACTTGGCTGCAAACACTTTTACCCACTGAGCTATCTCAACAGCCCACTTCTTTTTCTTTTCTTTTTTTTCTTTTTTCTTTTCTTTTTTTTTTGTCTTTTCCCCCCCCCCCCCCCCCCCCCCCCTTTTTTTTTTTTTTTTTTTTTTTTTTTTTTTTTTGGTCTTTTTGAGACAGGGTCTTCCTGTAGCCTCAGCTGGCCTGAAACTTGTTATATAGATCAGGCTGGCCTTGAACTCAGAGATCTGCCTGCCCTGCCTCTCAAGTGCTGGGACTAAAGGCGTGTGCCACCACACCTGGCCTTTAACCTAGTCTTCTTAACCCCAACCTCTTCAATGCAAAAGTTATCTATTAGAAATGTCTTGGTGCATTTCTTTTCAGTCTCTCATGTGCATACTCCATGGATGTGATTACTATAGTATGATGTATATAAGATTTTAGGATTGCATTGTATACCAACCTCAAGTTAATGCATGATTTTTTAAGAAGTTGATTGTTAATGTGTATGTGCCTACATACATGATGTGGGTGTGGGTGTCACAGAGTGTGTATGGAGGCCAGAGGACAACTTTGTAGCGTTAGTTCTCTTCTACCTTTGCCTGGTTCCTGGGGCTAGAACTCAGGTTGCCAGGCAAATGCCTTTACCCACTGAGCCATCTCATTGGCCCAATGTTTAATGTTTAAATTATTACTTTTTTTCCTTTCTGTGTGTGTATTCACTTTAAAGAACTAAAAATTGTTTTAGTGAAAATTTAGGTCTAGGGAAAAATGAGCTGAAAATGCAGTGTTCGTCTGTCCCCTTTACCTCTTCCCTTTTTCCTCTTGCTAACATTTTGCATTAGTGTAGCTGCTGTTGCAATGATCAAAGCACATTCTTTTCATTGTTTACACCACTCTTTACATACATTGTTTTTTTTTTTTTTTTGAGACAGCGCCTCCCTGTAGTCCCAGCTGGTCTGGAACTCACTTTGTAGACTAGGCTGGCCTTGAACTCACAGAGATCCACCAGCTTCTGCCTCCCGAGTGCTGGGATCAAAGACATGTGCCACTATGCCTAGCTACATACATTACTTGTTAAAAACTATTTTATTTATTATTTTTATTGTATGTATAGGAGTATATTGCCTGCATGTGGGTAAGTGCACCTGTGTCATGCAATGCTCAAGGAGGTCAGAAGAGGGCATTGGATTTCTCTGGAACTGGAGTTATGGATGGTTGTTAGCTGCCATGTGGGTACTGGGAATTGAATCCAGGTCCTCTGTAAGAGCAGCCAGTGCTCTTAACTGCTGAGCTATCCCTCCAGCTCCATTTTGTAAAATGCCAGTGAAACTTCACATTTTTTTCCCTTTTAAAAAAATTACATTTATTTTTGTGTATGTATGACTATGTGTATTTGCCACACATACAGGTCAGAGGATAACTTGAGGGAATCATCTCTGTCCTACCTTGTGGGTCCTGGGGATCCAACTCAGGTCATCCAGCTTGGTGGCAAGTGCCCCTACCCGCTGAACCACCTCACTGACCCAATTATATAAAGAAGTTTTATTTATTTATGTGTTGTGTATATGTTGTGTGCATGTGTACAGAGGCCAGAAGAGGGTGTCAGCAAGCCCCAGTGATCATCATGTCTCTGCCTCACTCTGCATTGGTGTTACAGGCATTTGTGGGGACTTTTGCCTTGTTATGGGGGTGCTGGGATTAGTGCTCTGGTCTTCATAATTGTGGAACAAGCACTCATAACCACTGAATCATCTCTCCAGCCCCCCCCTCCCTTTTTTATTTTTTTGAGACATGGTCTCACTATGTAGCCCTGGCTAGCCTGGAACTTACTATGTAGACTGGTCTGGCCTAGAACCCGTAGAGATCTGCCTGCTTCCTGAGGTGTGAGCCATCAGGTTTGGCTCCAACAGGTTTCTTTGGAGATAAATTCCATTGTAGCTCAGGCAGATATTGAGCTGGTAACCCTCCAGCCTCAGTCTCTCAAGTGCTGGAATTATTCACCTTTTTTAATCAGAAACATTTACTGCTCATGAGTGTTTATAGAGGATAAAAAGTATAAAGACACTTTTTTTTTTGGTCTTTTTAGATTAGTCTGGTCTCAGTTTCCTGCGTCTGCTGAGATTAAAGTTGTGCACCACCATGCTTGGAAAATAGAAACATGTTTGAAAATAGTTTTGATTTCAAGGTCTGTCTTTTCCTTAACTGACTTTAAATTTTATTTATTATCTTTATATGTGTGCATGATGTGAGTGTGGGAGTGTGTGGGCCATGGTGCTCAGGTGGAAGTCAGAGGTCAATTGTGTGCAGTCAGGTCTCTCCTTCTTCTTTATGTGGATTGTGGGGATTGAACTCAGATCTCCAGGCTTGTGTGGCAAGTGCCTTTATCAGCTGAACCATCTTGCCACCTCTCCCTAACTGACTGTTAAGTCTGTCTTTGCTTTGCTGTGGTGGTGGTTGTCATGAGGATTTTCCTGGAATATTGTGTTGTATTTTTTTGCTATTTTTGCATTCATGATCTCTTGGCAGCCTACTGCCTTGCCCCATAGGGCCAAACTCAATATCCAGTGTCCCTTCAGCAACTTGTGCATCTTAGAGCTCCTGCTGGAGAAGGGGGTGGAAGTGGGGGATAAATCAAAACAGGTCACTTTCCTGGATGATTGTAAGTTGAGTCAGTTCAGAACCTACCTGTTAGAATCTGAGTTAAGCAACTGAGTTCAAAGTCTAGGATTGAGACAGTTTTTCCTAACCATCTTCCTGGGCTCTGGCCAGAGGGGCAGTGACTGAAAGATAAGGTAGCTGGACCTCAAGCAAGAACATCAGAGCTTGCTGTCCTGCCGACAGCCTTCTCCTCGGATCCTGCCTGTGGGGCTACTTTGCTTGGCCACTCTGTTTGACCCTCTTCCTTTCTGCTGGCTTTGCCAGCATTAGGACAAACCACTGTTTCATTTAGTTCAATTTAGTTAAGCCTGGAATTTCAAAGGAAACAAAACCAACATATAAATATATGGAAAAGTAATTTATAAAACCTGTTTTTTTGTTTTTTTTTAAAAGCTCAGGTTGGCCTCAAACTTGGTATGTAGCTGAGACTGGCCTTGAATTCCTGGTCCTCCTGCCTTTACCTCTCAAGTGCTGTTACAGGTATGCACCACCATGCCTAACTAAAAACTGATTTCTTTCTCTTAATGAAAACTCACAGAAAACCAGGTGTGGTGGCATATGTCTTTAATTCTAGGCAGAGGCAGGTGCATATCTGTGAGATCAAGGCCAGCCTACATAGTGAGTTCCAGGTCAATTGGGGGTGACCCTGTCTCAAAAAACCCAATACCAAAACCAAAACCCAAACAAACCTACCACAGAGAGCCTGGCTGGGAATACTGAGACTTGTTGCTTGTCTTCATGAACTGGATTTATCCCAGGATGCCCTTGTCTCTGCTCTTCTGTGTCTTCTGTGTGCCCTCCATTGCTAAGGAGAAAAAGCTGGAGACTCTTCTATCCCCTGAGAACAGGGGTCTGTTAACGGACTATTTCTTCTTAACTGTGGTGGTGGTGGGGCAGGTAGTTGTTTAGCATGAGTGTGTCCACATCACATACCAAGCCTAGGCTATTATTTTCCAATGTTTTATTTATTTTTATTTTATGTGTATGAGTGTTCTGCCTGCATGTATGTTCGTGGGTATTCAGTGCCCACAGAGGCCATAAGAAGACATCGAGATCCCCTGGAACTGGAGTTTTGGAAGGTTGTTAACCACCATGTGGTTGCTAGGAACTGAACCTTGGTCCTCTGCAAGAGCTCAAGTCCTCTTAACTGCTGTGCCCTCTCTTCATCTCCTTAGTTTTTTCATTCTGTTTTTATTTGCTTAATTTTTATGTGTGTACATGTGTATTTATGTGAGTGGGTGTGTGTGTGCCATGGCCAGCTTGTGGATGTCAGTTTTCTCCTTTTACATTGAGTTCTGGGGATTGAACTCAGGTCTGCAGGTGCCTTTATCCACTGAGCCATTTCTAGCCACCCCTTCCCTGCCCCTATTTTTTCAAAATAAAGATAGGGTTTCATGTACCCCATGGCCTCTAATTTACTCTGTATGACCTTGAACTTCTGATCCTCTTGCCTCCACCTCCTGAGTGCTATGCTTATAGGCATGTGCCATTATGCCCAACTTTATGTGGTGCGGGGGACTGAGTCCTGGCTTTGTGCATGCTAGGCAAGCATTCTATCAGCTGAGATATGTCCCCAGCTATTAGGAGTTTTTGTTTCTATTTTGTTTTTTGTCTCTTTGAGAGAGGGTCTCCCTGTAGCCCCAATTGGCCTGGAACTCATTATGTATACTAGGCTGGCCTTGATCTCACAGAGATCCGCCTGCCTCTGCCTCCTGAATGCTGAGATTAAACGTATATGCTACCATGCCTGGCCTTTAGGGGTTTTGATACCCTCATCTAGGACCAATCAAGGTCACATTGGAAATGTGGCCATCTTCTTTGTTTCTTGTTCCTCTCTTAGTGTCCTCTTCCAACCCTGATCCTTGATCTCTCGAATGGAGTCTGGTTGTAAAAATTCCATGAGTGTTTGAGAACCAGTGATCAATCACTAAGTTACTATCAAGTCTTGAACATGTTACTTTACATGGCTCTGTGTCTTTTCTTTTTGTTGTTACTATAACTAAATATCACAGACAATGCAGTTTATAAAAAACAGAATTTTATTTTTCATAGTTCTGGAGGCTGGGCAGTCCAGAGTTGAGGGGCCATATCTGGGGTCAGCCTTCCTGTTGGAGATTCTTCAATAGAATTCCAAGGCTGGACAGATGTCCTAGCTCAAGTTACTCTTCCTCTTTCAATGCCGCTAATGAAGTGATAGGGTACTACCCTTAGAACCTCATCTAATCCTAAGAACCCACTTCCAAACTCCATTAACATACGACATTAATGTCTGTCCTGAAGACACAACCCCCAAACCACAGCAATCTCTATTGCCATTTTTGTGGCCCAGATAATGTGAGCTCTTGTCTGGCCTAGTGGCCTTGCTGTCTGAGTCCTATCTCTCTCAAAGCCATGTGGGTCTTGAGGATTGAACTGAGGTTGTCAGATTGGCAGCAGGCTCGTTATCCACTGAGCCTTCTCACCAGCCCCTACCTAGCTTTTCAAGGCAGAGACCTATGAGTGGTCATCTTTAGTTCTTCCACTTCCCTCATTTCCTACATCTATTAGTGTACTGTCCTGCCAATTCTTCCAGGGAAGATCCACTTCCCCATTTCGTCTCCCTTGTTACCATTTCAGTGTTAAGACTCAGTTGGCCGGTTCTTTGTTCAGGCCACTATATGATTCTTTCCCTTCCCTCCCCACCATCCTCTTTCATCCCTTCCCCTCCTTCCATCTATCTATCTTTCACAGTCTCATATAGCTCAGGCTGGCATAGAACTGACAGAGTAGCTAAGGGTGATCTTGAAATTCTGATCTTCTGCTTCGAGTCCCCAAATGCTGGGATTGCAGGTGTGCCCCATCATGCACAGCTTCTGTGGTGCTAAGGGTCGAACCCAGGGCTTTGTGCACGCTAGGCAAATCCTCTACCAACTGAGCTAATGTCCCTTGATCTTCCTGCTTCTATTCTTCCCCCTTCAATTTATTCTTTGTCCAGCAGACTGTGCTATTGAAAGGTACACAAAGCACCTTAGGAACCATGGCAAGTTTTGTATTGTACCTAGGGTGAGAGTCAGTCTCTCTCATTCTTTTTTGAGACAGGGTCTTCCTGTAGCCTCAGCTGCTCTAGAACTCACTACGTAGACCCAGCTGGCTTCAATCTCACAAGAGATCCACCTGTGTCTGCCTCCTGAGTGCTGGGCTTAAAGGTGTGTGCCATCATGCCTGGTGCTCTTTGGAGAGGTGTTGGCCTTCCCAGTCAACTCTTATTTTTCATGACCTCTGTCTTGTGTTTTTTATTCTCATGGCTGACTTTTTCTATTCTTCAGGATTCAGCTCCGATCTAACCTTAGGTTTTCCCTGTCTGCGGTTCTGTCTTTCAGTAGAGTCTTTGTCTTTATATCCTCGGTAGCAATCTGTAATTGTTGTCTTTTCATTCCCTCCGTAGCTCCCGGAAGAGATGAGCTCCAGGAATGTGTTTAGCCACATCATGGCACTGATGTGATCTAGAAAGTCTCCTCTGATGTGGCTGTGCTTTTTTCTTCCACTGTGCGAATCTAGCATCATGATGTGAACTTTGCATCATACACCCAAATCCCACTCTTTTCTTAGGTTCCTGCCCCAAAGCGAGGAGAAATAGTAAGACAGATTGGTGATGCCTTGCGGGAGAAGATCCGTGTACTGGGAAACTTGGTAAAGTATTTTTTAAAAGTTTATTTTGATTTTATATGCATGAGTGTTTTGCCTGCATGTATGAAAGTATACCACATGTATTGCAATGCCCATGAAGCCAGAAGAGGGCGCTGAATTCCCTGGAACTGGAGTTACTGATATTGTTATCCACCATGTGGGTGCTGGGAACCAAACCTTAGGTCTCTGCAAGAGCAGCCAGTGTTCTTAACCATTAAGCCATCCCTCCAGCCGAACCATCATTCCAGTCCCATTAAAGTATTTTTGTACTGTTTATATAATCCTTTGAGTTGAGAATATGCTGTCACATTTCTGTATATACATTTTGTTTTGTTTTATTTGAGACTGGGGTTTTGCTGCGCCTTATAGTCTTGGTTCAAGTGATCCTCCTGCCTCAGTCTACTAACTGCTGAGATTATAGTTATGGACCACCTTGTCAAACTAAGATTGTGGAGTTTAAAAAAAAATAATGTTGTATGTTCACATACCCTAAGATTGTGACTTTTTTTTAAAAAAGAAGAATTCAAAATTCCTTTTTTAGAGGAAAGAGAGATGAGTGAAAAAATTCTGTGGTTTAAAAATTCTTCAGAAACCAGCCTATCATGGAGGCATACACCTTTAATCCCAGCACTGGGAGGCAAAGTCAGGTGGATCTCTGTGAGTTTAAGGCCAGTCTGGTCTACACAGGGAGTGCCAGGATAGCCAAGCTGCATAGTAGGACCCTGACACAAAACAAGACAAATCAGAAACAAAATATATTGCATGCATATATGAAATTTTCAGAGAATTAATAAGAAATATTTTAAAAAAGAAAAAGTCAGGGAAATGAGCATATTTTTCTTAGTTTATTAACTACACAAAACAACGTTTTACATTTGTTCTCAGTGTAATGTTTAAACTGTGAAATGTGACTGCTGGAGAAATTCTGCTTGGATTTTATATTCTTAGGTGTCTTTGGAGATGGGAAAGATCTTAGTGGAAGGCGTGGGAGAGGTTCAGGAGTACGTGGACATTTGTGATTACGCTGTTGGCCTGTCAAGGATGATCGGAGGACCCATCTTGCCTTCTGAAAGTAAGCCAGAAGTCAGATAAGCTAAGCATTCAGAGCTGTGACATAGAGCTTCAAAGACTCTTGTGTGCAGGGCGACATGAGTTAGCAGGTAAAGGCACCGCTGCCAAGTCTGGCGATTTTAGCTCAATCCTCAGTCTGAATAGAAGGAGGTGAGAACTCACTGCACATTTTCTCTGGCCTCCACACACATGTGCATACATACACACTAAAAAACACAAAACAGCACCCCCCCCCCCAATCAAACTCTGCTATGAATAGTTTGCAAAGCAGAATTGCTAAGAAAAACAAATGGAAACATTTTGGAAACATTAAATCAAGTACCTTAAATATTTTTTTAGTGTGTTTATTTATTTATTTTGTGTGGTATGGGGTAGGGAGGGGTGTGCACACCACTGCACGCTTGTGGAGGCCAGAGGACAACTTGTGGGTGTCAATTCTCTCGTTTCACTATGTGAATCCTGGGGACCCAAATCAGATCTTCAGGCTTGGGGGAAAGCACCTCTCCCTGCCCCTTGTTTTGTTTTAAAGATAAAACCCAGTGTTGGCAAATTCATGGCTAAGCTACTCTTTTAACCCATCCAGAAAATAATTTGGAAATATGTCCAAAGAAGGTTAAGTTTAAAGCCAGTTTTAAGCATCTAAATAGATACTCTAAAATGTGTGAAGATTTGTATTGTGGTTTCATATATTAGAAATGGCTTAAATACTAAGTTGCAGAGAAGTCTTAGTCTGGTTTTAGAAGATTATTACATATACTGACAGTGTTTATGAAAAAAAAACAAACCCACAGTTTTTTGAGAAGGTTGTACTAACTTTTTTTTTTTTGTACTATTTTTTTTTTTTTTTTTTTTTGTGTCTCCCTGTAGTCCAACTGGCCTGGAACTCACTACGTAGATCAGGCTGGCCTTGACTCGTAGAGATCTATCTGTCTCCGTCTTCCAAGTGCTGAGATTAAAGGCATATGTCATTATGTCTTGGCCTTCAGGCTTAGTTTCTTAAAAATATGATATATGCATAGAAGAAAATTAGCAACTGCAGTGCAGCTCATTCTGTAGCGTGCTTACCTCCTATGATTAAATCCCAGCACTCATGGATGTGCATACCTGTAGTCCCAGAGTTTGGGAGTGAAGGCAGGAGGACCAGAAATTCAGGGTCATCCTTGGCTAATAACAAATTCCAGGCCAGCTGAGCTACATGAGACCCTGCTTAAAATAAAAAAGAAAAAAGAAAAAAAAAAAAAGAAAGAAAGAAAAAAGGGAATTAAATTAGAATAAAATGGATGAAAGCTTTTTTTTCCTTTCCTCCCTTGCTACTCTGTAGGACCCCAGGGCAGCGTGAAGGTTTCTGATTTCTTGTGCATCCTTTCGCATTCTGGTTCACATACAGACAAATATGTTTTTTACTTGGAAAAGAATTAGTATCAAACTATATTTTATCCTACTTAATAGGCCTTGAAAATTGTTTCAGTACAGTGAAGGTGCTATGTAGTACAGCAAGAGAGGCCTTAGTCATTTTCTTTGAAGACAATCTTAGTACATAGCCCGAGTTGGCTTTGACCTGGTGGTCCTCCTGCCTCAGCATCCTGATTGAGATTTGACAGTGATTGCCACCACACCTGGCTTCCTTCATACAATTAATCATGTGTGTGCACGTGTACAATTATGTGCATGCCATGGCCTGTGTATGTGGAAGTCAGAGGACAATTTGCAAGAGTCTGTTCTCTTCTTCCACCACGTTTGGTTCTGGGGATTGGAATCAAATTGTCAGGATTGGCAGCAAGTGCCTTTACTCAGTGAGCCATCTCACTAGCCCATAAATTACATTAAAATTAATTATATTATTTATTTGCTATTTATGTGTTAATGTACACATGTGTAGGTATACATGTAGAGGTTAGAGGACAGTGTGTAGGAGTTGATTTTCCCTTCCCTCATGTGGATCCTAGGGATGGAATTCAGGTCATCAAGCTGGGTAGCAAGCATCTGTACCTATTGAGTAATACCCTAGTTAGCATTAACTGTTAATTTTACAGAAGCTTAGGGTCTTCTGAAAGAACCTTCACTGAGGAATTGCTAGATCCGATTGGCCCGTGGACATGTCTGTAGGTGATGATTGTCTTACTGATGCAGGAGGGCCAGCCACTGTGGGTGGTACCATCCCTAGGCAGGTGATCCTGGCCTATATAAGAAAGCTAGCTAAGCATGAGCCTGTGAGTGAGAACCTATGTGGTTCTGGTCACCAGGCTCCTGCTCTGACCTCATTTAATGGTGGACTATGACCTGGAAGTGTAAGCCAAATGAACCCTTTGCTTCCAAAGTTGCTTCTGGTCAGAGTGTTTTATCACAGCAACAGAATGAACCTGGAATAGTCATCTGTCTGGCTGCTGCTGGATACTTTCAAGAAAAGTTTCCAGTTTAAAAAGTTAGTAAACAGGCTGGAGAGATGGCTCAGCAGTTAAGAACACTGGTTGTTCTTGAAGAAGACCCGGGTTTGAATCCCAGCACCTACATGGTAGCTAACAACCATCCATAACTCCAATTCCAGGGGATCTGACAGCTTCTGTCCTCCATGGGCACTGCACGACATGGGTGCACTTATCTACATGCAGGCAATAATCTACATGCAGGCAATACACTCATACACATAAAATGCAAACAATAAAAAAAAAGTAAACTACCAGTTTAGGGAAATATATTGTATAAGCCAATAACTTCTTTGACTTATACCTGTTATAGTGTTTGCATTACCAGTTGTAATTTATGTATTTATGATACATTTAGAAATTTTTGACATTGCAAGAAAAGGATCTCATGCATGTTAGTCAAGCACCATATCTCAGAGTAACATTTCTAGCCCCTGCATGCACATTAAGAAAAAAAATTAGGGGGCTGGAGGGATGGCTCAGCAGTTAAGAGCACTGAGCTCTTAAGAGCAGTTAAGAGCGGTTCTTGCAGAGGACCTGGGTTAAGTTCCCATGGCCTACACTTAAAAAAGAAAAAAAATTAAAAAAAGAAAACAACCGGGTATGGTACTTCACATTATTTAAATTTATTTTTATTTTATGCATATGAGTATTTTGCCTGAATGTATGTAACTGTACCTGGGTTGTACAATGCCTTTGAGGACAGAAAAGGCATTGGATTCCCCTAGAACTGGAGTTATGGATGGTTGTTAGCCACAATGTGGGTGCTGGGAACTGAACCTAGGTTCCTCTCAAAAGCAGCCAGTGCTCTTAACCACTGAGCCATCTCTCTTGCCCCGTGGCTTACATTTTTAATACCAGCATTTGGGGATCTGGGGTGAGAGGATAGCTGCAAGTTTGAGGGCTGCCTGGGCTATTTAATGAGTTCCAGGCTTACATGGGCTACAGAGTTAAGATCTTGCTTCAAAAAACAAAACAAGGGTTGGTGCAGTGGCTTAACAGGTAGAGATGCTTACTGCCAAGCCTGACAACCTGAGTGTCAAACCCCAGAAGCCACATGGTGGAATAAAGAGACTTAACTCACAAATTGTCCTCTGGCCTCCAGATGAACACCACCACGTTAACAAAAATGAAAATGGGCTGGAGGGATGGCTCAGAGGTTAAGAACACTGGTTGTTCTTGCAAAAGACTGGGGTTCAAATCCCAGCACCCACATGGCAGCTAGCAACTGTCTGTAACTCCAGTTCTTGGGGATCTGATGGCCTCTTCTGTCCTCTGAGAGCATTGCACAACACAGGTGTACTTACCTACATGCAGGCAATGCATGCATACACATAAAATAAAGGGCATTGCACAACACAGGTGTACTTACCTACACGCAGGCAATGCATGCATACACATAAAATAAAAATAATAAATAAGATATTTAAAAACAAATGAAAACAAACCTATCATCACCATAATCATGCATGCAGAATCTTTGGGGATAACTTTGACTTAATATGCATTAAAAATGCTATGGAATGTTTTCCAGGTAGCAGAGGTTCTAATAGGTGATAGCTCCAGCCTTACAATTCCTAAGCTTATAAATCCTTGTTTTAGAGTGTTGGGGTGTGTCAGGTAGCTGTAATGGAATGTGGTGAACAGAGGAGGGTTAGAGCATAGATGGTAAGTGTGTATGGGGAGTTCCTACTCTAGTCTGGGCATGCCATTAAGAAAGGCCTCCCAGGGAAGATAGCCTAAGTTAAGGCCTCAGAGGAGACAGAATTGGGGGTAGACTACTGGGGTAGAAGATTACTTCAATCAGGGAAGAAGCCTCTATAAAAGTTTAGAATGACCAGGCATGGTGGTGTATGCCTTTAATCCCTGTCCTGAGGAGTCAGAGGAAGGTGATTCTGAATTCGATGCAAACCTGATCCATATAGCCAGTTTCAGGCCATCAAGGGCTATATATTGAGACCCTGTCTCAAAAAAAAAAAAAAAATTACTATGGAAGAACATGGTTTATGTGGAGACCGCCTTGCATTTGTACAACTGGAGGGTACAGTGCAGGGATGTGCAGGGATGGGGTCCCTATTGTGAGAGTTTGGACTTACTGAGTCGCTGTAGTATCCTTAAAGACTCCAGAAGGCTGTAAGCTAGGGACTGATGGTGGCAGGGCAGAAGAGAAGGAAAGGCAGGAGAGGAGGCTGGCCCTGACAGGGAAGGATTAGGATGCCCCCCTCCCCACTTAGGAGGCCTGGGAATGAAGTGCTGGGAGGCTTCCAACCCCACCCCAGGGGGTGACCTGAGGGAGTGCCACATCCCTGCCACTTGGTCTGTAGGTTTAAAACCAGATCTGCGAACAGTCACGTTGCTTTGCTCTGCCCTTCCCTGCCCCCCCCCCCCAGCCTTTGATTAAAATAAGTCCTCATGGGATTATGGTTAGCTTTAAAGTTTGCAATTAAAATATGATTTATAAAAAAGTATGGCATGCCATGTGTTCCAGGCTGGACTGAACTCAATATGTAAATATGTAGCTGAGGATAACCGTGAACTCTTGATCTTTCTGTCTCTACATCCTGAGTGCTCAATGTCAGGTGTGTGCCGCTGAACCAGGTTTATGCAGTGCTGGGGATCGAAGCCAGGGCTAAGCAAGCCCTCTACCAACTGAACTACATCCCTAGCCCAAATACAAATATTTCTATTTATACTTTTAATTTTCTTACAGTGAATGCAACATTTTTGTAATTCATTCAACATGAACCTATGCATGAGCTTTCTTGTCTTGAATTTAGGGAAGTTGGCCCAGGCTCGGCATACAGAACAGACACCTGAGCATCACAAGTCCTGTGTTCTGTTCACATTTTACCCTTTGTGATCACGTCTCTTAGGGTCCTTCTTACACCTTGCTGATGAGTCTTATCCCTCAGACAGGACTGCTGATGCTCTGCAGGTCCTGAGTGCAGAAGCATAATCAACCATTATGGTTGATAAGATAGTATAGTAGGGGCTGGGGAAGTAGTTCAGTGGTTAAGAGCACTAGCTCCTTACAGAGGACTGGGGATCATTCAGTTCCCAGCCCCCATATTGTGGCTAACACCTGTCTGTGCCTCCATTTCCAGGGGATCTGATGCCCTCTTCTGACCTCTGTGGGCACTTACATGCCCTCTTCTGGCCTTTGTGCACTTATGCAGGCAAACATAAATCTTTAGAGCAAACAAAACAACACAAGTGATAGTATAGTAAGAAACAATTCTGTTTTACATTAAACAGTGTGCTCATATCCTACAGCTATATGAAGCGGTCCATGGAAGAATCTGGAATCCTCCTTGGTCTGGCGCATATACTTTTGTTCTGAAAAGAAAGGCTTTAGACTTTGTTCTTTAATTTTTTTTTACATATTTATTTTTATTTTATATGTATGTGTGTTTTGCCTGCATGTAAGTGTACCATGTACATGTAGTGCCCTTGGAGGCCAGAAGAGGGCACTGCATCCCTTGGACTGGAGTTACAGATGGTTGTTAGCTGCCTTGTGGGTGCTGGGAACTAAACCCAGGTCCTCTGCAAGAGCAGCCAGTGCTCTTAACCACTGAGCCATCACTCTAGCCCCATAGATTTTGTTTTTAACTTGCTCCATGCCCACCACTTCTCAGGACCTGGCCATGCTCTCATTGAACAGTGGAATCCACTAGGCCTGGTTGGAATCATCACTGCCTTCAACTTCCCTGTGGCCGTGTACGGCTGGAACAATGCCATTGCCATGATCTCAGGAAATGTCTGCCTTTGGTAAGAACTTTCCATCTTCCTATCTGGTAGTAAGAAGATGATAAAAGTAGCTATTTCATGTACCACTAAAAGATTTTAGACATATTGAAATGTTTCCTAGACTTCTCAGTTAACACACTAAGTCACATGTCCTAGTTGCACTAACTTGTCATTCATATTTTCCATTGGTGATACAAGCTTATGTTGTGATATAATAGTGTCCCCTTTCCCCTCCCAGCTGTTTTCACTCCAGGTAGAAGTATATAATTCAGTTCTAATACTGCCTGGGGTTGGGATCCACAGTTAAGGGTTCAGTCTTTCATAAAATGGCCTCCATTTCATAGCTATATATATGTATATGCATATAATTATATATTATTATGTTTTGGGGCAGGACCCTGAATTCCGGATCTTTCTGCCTTCACCTTCTAAGTGCTGGGATTACAGGCATGGGCCACCACATTTTATGCTTTTGCTTTGTAATGAAAGGTATTTGTTTTCCCTCATGTTAATTTCCTTTTTCTCTCTTAAAAAAAACCCCTTCTCTAGGAAAGGAGCTCCAACAACTTCCCTCATTAGCGTAGCAGTCACAAAGTAAGTATGTGTGGCTTTTTTCTGAGTGTAGTGTAACCTTGAAAGGGTGATTTGATAGACCCTGAGTTTTCAATCTGAGGGGAAGCTGTCATGTTTATTCAAGTATAGAATTCAGATTCCCTCTTTCCCCCTTGGTTGCAATAAAACTTTTATATCATTTTGCAGTTTATGTGGCTCTTTTTGAACTGAGCCGTTTAATTTACCTCTTCTGGAAGCATGCCAGGTATTGACAGTGTTGAACTTGAGCTTTTCTAGACATTCTTTTAATTACTCAGAAAATAAAAACATCTGCAGTGTAAAAGAAATACTCTGGTAATTTTGGGGCTGTAATTGGTAACTAACAAGTTTATGACTTTGAGGTTCAACAACCCCCCCC